GACTTAGAATTACCTAGGGTATCGGCTCTTAAATGCTGATTGAACTAAAATAATTAAGACTAGTGGGGTCCGTGGGATTTTAAGGTATTCAGGATTTCAGTAATTGGATTATTGACCACTGGATTCATCGTCCACTGATTAGATAGCATGATGTCCTTATCTGATTAACTTTGCTGGACTCGTGGACGATTCCAAGTTAATTGTAACATGGTCGCATTCATATGTAAAGTGTCATTTGTTTAATTATTGGGTTTCGCTCTTCTTCATACACACTTACAGATCAATTAAAAACAGCTTTGTATTAACCGAAACTTGTCATTAACGGCAGCTGTTGGAATTTTTTAAAAGTTGCAGATGGAGCTTTTGGTTTTTATAGGGTATCCCCCCTTATTGGCCTTAAGTGCCGTCGTTTAAACGAAAACCGCTTTTCTTCTTCTTTTTCTAATTTAGGTTGACATTTAAATCTTTACGTCGTCTCGTATTTTTAATGTCATTTTTAATTATTCAGTCATGAAGACCTGGTGGATTTTAGTGTTTTTTCGTCTGGTGCCTACTACGTGTGCAAGTTAGTAATGCACACTTTTAATTTCGTTTTGACTGCAATGTGCGACACGGCTCTGACGATACATTTTAATATGGTGAAAATAAAACATGTATATGGTGAAATATAAACATATATATATAGGTGCTAACTACTTGGAACGCAAAGTTGCCTGGACAGAAGATGGGAGTCACGGAGGCGGTCGTCACCTCACATGTCCTGCGATGGTGACTTTAAAAATACCTCGCGTGTTGAATAGGTGGACAAGGAAAATGTATATCGCACATTTACTTGTGAATATTGCGGCTTATTCTGTTCATAATCAGCGGCACTAGTATTGCCAGCGACTTAAATTAAACACGGTTCCAGGAGACTAGCCAGATCATAACCACCATTCAAAACATAGAGTACTAAATTGGACCGCAACACTTTGAAAAAAATCTTGGCCACATAGCTTAAGAACATATTTCTTAAGTGACCGAGTTTGTGAGATCCGTTTCTTGTGAATGGTTAGGGAGTCATCAGCTACTGCCGTTCACTTTTGCTTAAGGCTCATGCTAAGCTTGCACCTGCAGCAGAGGCTCTGAAGGTGAAGCCCGAGGCTGTGTCTCCCAGGCTGCTGCGGTTTAACCCGACACAGAGCACGGTGTCCCTCGCGAAGCCGCTTTGCGTTTTCGACAGCGTGAAGCCAACGAATGAAATGATGGTAGATGTATACGTTGTCCACAGCCTCTCGGGTACGTATTCTCTGAAGTGAAGGTCAACTAACAACAAATTGTTGCTGTTCTTTTTTGGAAAGAAAACAAATATGGAAGGACTCTCATTGGACCAAACTGCACATAAGTTTTCTATGTGGGTGGCTGTCTGAAGACGCCTTCTCGTCAGATTAGGGATAATATTCCAAATCTCCAGTTTTTGTTGTCCGTGTCCCTGTGGGTTTATGCTCCTTGTAAAGCCTGTGATAGAATTAACCCAGTGAATTTATTAACTTGAACTTGGGCTGTAAGTAAGACCCCAGTTGGGGTGAAACAAGAAGTCTTTGGACTCCTTGAGGATTGAAGACCATCGCTGATTTAAGCGATTGTGTTGTGCTGTTAGTTTTTCAAGCAGTAGTAACTGCACTAGAATATACCACATCTTTAAATCCGTCTGTTTCGATTGAGCCTGCTGTAGCCTAGTGAGATGGCCACATTCCTTGAGGGGAAAACTGCACTTGGTAAAAGGGGGGTTTAGTGTGGGTCTCTAAACCTGTCCACTTGTGTTGTAGCCACTCTGACCTTTGAGACTGGGAAAACGTACAAGGAGACGAATGGAGGGACAGAGACTCCTTATAAGGCTACATCCTTCGGGATCCCAAACTGCACCTCTCCACCAAACCCTGCAGACCTGTCTGTTCCCCAGAGAATCGATAAGACTTTAGATGAGTACTTGGTCCGTATTGGCAGCAACCCGACATGCGTGGGGGAACCGGAGGCTGAAGCCTTTTGTAATGCGCCGCTCTCCGATGGCACTTCGTACAGGTGAGCTCTGTGTGTAGAGTCTGCTCAGTGGATATAGGAGTTTGTGACCATGACGATAAATCTTTCCAGGACCTGGTTCAACCTTTTCTTCAAAGCTCGATTTAGTCTAACATTCAGCTTTTGCAGCCTGCTCTTTGCAGGTTCTGTAGAGTGGATTATTGCAATAAAAGTAATAAAAGCCTGATCACACTTTCATTTTCAGTCTGAATGTCTTTACAGGTTTAAATATTTGCTTGTAAATGGGACTACAACTATAGCAGAAACCGAATGGTCAGAGTCAATCCTAACAAGAAAGGGTAGGTGGTTTGATTGTATTCAAAATTGAATAGATTCACAGCTAAAGTTTCACTACTCTGTTGTACAATGGAGAATTTGTACTGTGAAATGGATGCATTACATCATGGCTATTCAAACTACAACCCTTCCAATGTGCGCCATTACGGAGTTGTACTGCATTGGCTCCTTTTAATTGATTAAGAGGATCAATACAACAATAAAGGAGGTGGTAAAATGCAAATGTTGCACTGAAGGAGATTGGAAGGGATATAAATTGGGTGTCCCTTCTTTATATTCTGGCAGTTGTTTCAATCCAAAGCTAAAGTTGCTGTAAATGGCTTTCCTCCCCTGAATTAAACATTTCCAAGAGCATCTTAAACCTGTTCAGTTAGGATAAGAGGGAGTGAGAGTGGTTCTGTAAACAGCACCCGGTATTCTGATTTCTGTCTTGGATTTTACTTTGCTATTTTACCTGGGCATAACATCATCTAGATCAGATTATACACAAACCCAGAAACTGTGCACTATGTTTAAAATCTGAGAGATCTTGAACAGGATTGGATCCATTTTTTGCTTTCCTTCTGACAAATCATGTCTACACTTTTCTGAGGAATTTAATAGTGCAACAAGGTTAGAGTATGGTTTTTACCATTGGGTCAGGTCTTGATCAGGATTATAAACAATTGTCTATGTTCTACTCAGCTCTGAGCCCTGATGAAATTGACACCTGGATTGGGAAGAGAAGTGGAGGCGGGATAGTTGTCACTGTCATCCTGAGTCTCCTGCTGTTTCTGCTGCTTGGGGCTGCCATTTTCATGGGAGTACTGGATGTGATGTAAGTTGTACATGTGGCGCGTGCTCAGGGAAGAAAAGTAAGGATCTTGCTTAGTTCTACAGCCTGTAAACACCCTTGCCCTGACCATCACACCTGGACTACCCTAATTGTGCACAACAATTAGTCTCTTTCTACATATTACTGCTACATTTGTTGATGTCTATCAGGATGGGATGATGACATTTTTTCTTTGCTGAAGCTTTTAGTGGGTCAACCTGAGATGCTGCTCTGTGATCCAGGTGATATAATTATAATTAATAATTGCTTACACAAATATGCTTATATATAGAGTTTTTTTTTGGACACTCCACTCAAAGCGCTTTATAGGTAATGGGGACTCCCCTCCACCACCACCACCACCACCAATGTGCAGCCCCCACCTGGATGAGGCGACGGCAGCCATAGTGCGCCAGAACGCTCACCACACATCAGCTCTCAGTGGGGAGGAGAGCAGAGTGATGAAGCCAATTCGTAGAGGGGGATTGTTAGGAGGCCATGATTGATAAGGGTCATTGGGAAATTTGGTCAGGACGCCAGGGTTACACCCCTACTCTTTTTGAGAAACGCCCTGGGATTTTTAGTTGGGACCTCAGTTTTACAGTATAGTGTCCCGGTCACTATACTGGGGCATTAGGACCCACATAGACCACATGGTGAGCGCCCCCTGCTGGCCCCACTAACACCTTTTCCGGCAGCAACCTTAGTTTTTCCCAGGAGGTCTCCCATCCAGGGACTGACCAGGCTCACACCTGCTTAGTTTCAGTGGGTTGCCAGTTGTGAGTGGCAGAGTGATATGGCTGCTGGCTGATATGAAGGCATTGCTTTCTTGATCAAGGGGGCTTCTGTTTTTTTTTTCTTGATCACCTATTTGTCATCAGGTTAAATGTCATTATCACCTGTGAACAATCATTAGTGGGCAGAGCCAAGTTAATTTAGTACCGACCCAGCACACTTGGGTCGGAATAGGTCATGAGAGATCATATAAGCAAAATTAAACCACAATATTTAATGTATATTCAAGATATGTTTACTTACAAAAAAAAATCCAAGTATAAGTTACTGATTCTGATGCTCTGTATTATTCAGTTGTGTATTTAAATTGATTAAATGGGATCTGGGTTTTGTTCAGACCAATACGTATTTTCAGTTTGACTGCGTCAGCATATGACTCTTATAGGATTGCCTTTGAAGTGTGTGTAACACACAACTGATACTTTAAAAGAGGTCAATATAAAAAGCATATTTGTATTTCATATGGTAGAGACATCCTATTCTTAACTTTTTTATTCCATGATCCAGTTAAAACTGAAAAAGATTCTCTTATAGATGTAACTGATATGTCCATTTGGTTTATGAACTACAATGTAAATGTTAAACTATACTACTATAAAGCACACTTCATTATTTTATTACTTCCTTGACATTTACCTAGTATGTAGGTCAGTCTTGTCAGATCTTGGAAGCTGAGCAAGGCTGAGCCTTTTGATTTCTTGCTTCTCCACCTGATGTGTTGTGGATTGGGGATGCTGGCTCATCTCTGCAGTTTGCCACCCTGCTGGGCACTGTGCAGTGACAATTGAAAGGGTTGCCCAGCCTTATATGAAATGCTTGGGGATCCTTTGAGATGGAAAAACCCGTAAACAGGGAATGTGTTCATAGGCTTATCTATTTGATTGCAGAACAATTGCTGTGGTTCTTTAGGGTCTGCTAGCTGCTGAAACTGATGCCTCTCTGAAACATGCCAAATCTAATGGTGTTACATGCTGTATATCTTGCTATCTTAGTAATGTTTGTGAAGATTAATATGCTCTTGTACTGGAAGTAATTTAAAACTGGCAGTTAGTTTTTTTTTTCCCAATTCACTGCTCTCAATTGGTCTTCGAGAATGTAATGAATATGTTCATCCTTCTGACATCTTAAAAGTTAAAAGCAGCCTTTCGGTCTGAATGCAATGTCTCCAAGTTACAGTCTCGGGTGAGCGGCTCAGTAATCGCAGGTGAAGTTGAAGATCATGATGAGTTGAAGATCAAGATATAATGAGAGTTTTTTTTTTCTCCCTCCCCCACATCTCATCTATTAAAGCCATCATGTGAAGGGCAGAGGGTCCCAGGATGTGACTATGAGATCACACACCTGTTACTCAACTGTAAACAAGCGCATGTCCATGGGTGAGGTTAACGTTCAAACATAAAGGAGGAAGAGGTAAGTCTTTGTTTTCACCGATGCTGGTGGTCGTTTCCTGATCATGTAGCAAGGTAACTGCAAGCCAACTATCTTTATACTGTATGTGCTACTTTTTTTTGAATGAGTTGAAGAATGCTTCAGTTAGGCACAAAAATAGTTAACCAATTATGCAAAAACCTTTCTGGGTACCACTGTATATGTCTAGACACACCTATTTACACACATACCTATTTTAGTGTTTTTAAGACCTTGGATATGGGTGATAAGCTGGAGTGAAAGGAGCAATTACTGTAGGTAAAGCTGAGGCTGCTGCAGGATTATTCTTCGTCACTAGAATTTAATGGTGCTGGCTTGCAGTTTGTAAGGCTCACCACCACAGGTGGAACGGGTGCTTTAAGCAAGGATTATATTCTTTGTTTTAATGGACTTCTATATCTACAAAGTTTATACCGAACCCCCTGACACAGCTGAAGTGAATGTGCTGTACCAAGTTTTCCAACAATATCACAGTTTGATCTACATATACACTTTGTTATAATAAGTGACTGCGATCCACACTGGGGAAAAAAGGATTAATATAAAGTGTACGTATAACCCTATATTTACTGAGGCAAATTCAGTTTTACTGAGGCATAGATGCAACACTCCTCATAAAAGAATCATAGCCTTTGTTCCTGCTTGGGAGTCACAGAGTGGTCTGAAGGTATGAAATGAGTTTGTGATGAAAATGGCCATTTCTGGAGAACACTGAAGGGGACGCACATAAGGTGCCAACATTGCCCCAAATTACAGCAGTGTTACAAAGGATTTTATAGTGCATGTTCAGCCATGGTCACTCTGTGTTACAAACTGAATGGTATTTGAGTGACCATTACCAAAATACTACTGCTTATGGCCCAGTGTCTATTTTTGATAATGGTATCCCTGTCTTTTAGCTATTTCTGAGATTATACAACAGCAGGTATCCGATTGAAACTCACTTAAGACAGGTCAGGAGTAATGACTCTGTCAAAGTCCAATTTCTATATGTACATTTGCTAAGGCTATCAGATTTGTAATTGCAGTTTTGTATCTTGTTAATGAAGGAATTTATGTATTTTTACTGGAGTTTTGATTTTCACTTTTTTTTCCTTCAGATACTTGCAGATGATGACTCATCTTCAAACAGGGCTGTCTACTATCTTGGGCACTGACATATCAAGGCAGAAATGTAGATAACCCATTGATTATTAAGAATTCAGAAGACTTCACAGGTTCTATAAATGTTTTGGTGTTTTACTATTACATTTATTTTCTGTTTTATCCCAATTATTCTTGACCGTTTTGGTAATCGCTGCAGGCTGTTTTGAATAAAATTTGTTACTTCAGGATTACTGCAGTTGAAATAAAATCTATATGCTTCGTGCACAATTCAGAAAATATAAAGGCTAAATGCTAAATACATATTCTTCTCCCAGCGGCCAGAAATCAGCCTAAGGGGACTGCTCAAAGTGGATTAAATTAAACTTCTACTGTATGTAATTTCAAGCTTCTTGATCATTAAGGGTTCATTTCAGAATTGAGCTATGCAAACTGAAACCTTCCACAAGGTTTTATGCACTGTCTCAGGAATGTTTAGTGTTGCAAATCTTAGTAATTACTGCACACACCCCTGCTAGCCCATGTAATATAGAAAACGGCCATGTGCCATTCTGGATGTAAGCCACGCTGTCTTGGGTCACTGGTGTAAATGTAAACATTCCAATTAGAATGCTGTCAGGTAACAGCTGCTTGGAGTTCTGTGGGAAATTTTTCAGTTCTGGTGTGGTTCTCATGCCATCCATCGTTATATTAGTTACTCCATTAATGAACTGAAGTTTCGAGCTACAGAATAGTGCATTATTTTTAGATTTCTGATGTACCCAGGCAAGGTTTAGAAGCATAACTTCATAATCTTGATACATCTAAAATAAAGAACAGAAAGGTTCTGACTCATTCTAATATGTGATCAATAAGGTTTTATTTAATGCTTTCATCTGTAAAAGCACTTCTTTTAATAACTTCACAAACACACTGCCACCTTCAGTAGTAGGGCATGAAGCTGTAACTGAAACCAAGAAACTCTTAATACTTCAACACTATAAGATAAGAGAGTCCCAAATGTGCAGGAAGGGAAAGATTGCTTCGTGAGGGTCACAGCTTGACACCATTGTCCCATAACCAGCTCAGCATTTATCCTTTTCATTCTGCTTCTTCCTGCTTATATGCAGCTGCTGCTGCAAAACCTACTACTACCACCAATAAACAAAATGGCTGCAAATGGATTATTTAGTCATCATCAAAGTAAACACAAAAGCTATCATTGTTGGTCCTGGCAATTCAGCTTGTCTTAAGCAAGGAAACCAGAGGAAACATTTAAATAAAGCCTCGGCGGATGTCTGAAGACCGGGCGCTTGAGGGCCTTAAAGAGCGTTGGCCAATAGGGTGGCCGATCCCTGGGCCTTGCCCTGGATGTGGGCCAATGGGATCAAAGCGTGGGCGGGGCACGGTGGAGAAGGGCAGTCCTGGCCTCTGGTCATACTCTCCTCCGATGATCCCAGGGGGGAATGGCGGCGTGGGTCCGAAGGGGAAGGGATGAAAGGGCATAGGTGGGTATGGGAATGGCTGAGGAGGCACCGGAGGGAACATCATAGTGCGGCGTACGCGAGCTGCTTCTTTCCTCTGTAGATATCTCTTTTTGTAGAGCTGCAGGAAACAAAGCGAGTAAAACCATTCTGAAAGAAATCGACAGTTCCAAGATTTTTCAGTATAGTACTGATAAATGCTTTAGCGTGGAGCAACAGACAGGGACTAGGGTGTTTGAAAGCCAGGGCACGGGCAGCAGAATGTGTCTTGAAAATCTGCCCGCAGTTTCAGAAAAGCCATGCTTAAAAAAATGGACTTCAGTAAGAGAGACGCTACTGCTCACACTGGTACATCAAGATTTGGAATTATAATTGTAAAACATATTTCGACTGTAGATTGTTAAAAGCTTAAATTTATTCAGCTTAGCACAGCAAAGGACTTCGGGTTTTTTAACACTGGAGTAATATCTTAACTTGTGCTGAGACAAATACATGAAGAAAAATACTAATTATAGAAAGTTGTATGAGGCTGTTTCAAAATGTTTAACAGACGAGATCCTTCCATTACTTCAAACTGTGAATAATTCAGTGGCACAAACATATGAAGCTGTTATTTTCATACATATCTGATATGTGTGGCCAACACAAAATAAAAAAACAAACAGACGAAGCAGTGTGAGACTGTCATTTAAAAAAAATAATTTTAAATTGAGATGCATCTTGGATTTGTGTTGCTTTAAAAATAACGGATTATGCTGGCACTACTGACTACATATTTTTACATTATTTGCGAAAGCCCATTGTAATACCATGAAACTTGATTTTGGACTCACTTATTTTGATATTTAACTGTGATTCTTATTATACTCCTAAGAATAACAAGATAAAATATTAACTAGGTTTCAGTATCCATTTATATACCATTAAAAACAAATGTGAGTACTATTTTTTTCACTCAAGCTTCTTTATTAGTTAACTGGATATCTGAGTTGTCAGCTACACCAGTAACTGAATAAATGTCATCTTGTATCAGCTGAGAAATATAGAAAATATTATTTTAGAAAGAGAAAATATAATCATCCCAAATATTTAACTTTTGTTCTTTTAAGTTACTTACTTCTTTCCAGTTGGTGTCTCTAGGTCTGCTGACTGAATCTAGAATTAAAAAAAAAGTGCCTAATAGCATAAGAAACATTTCGTATGTGTTTTTTATTCAAATAATATTTTGCTATTTCATTAAAAAAATAGTGGCATACATCTTAAAATAATACTCAAGTGCAATGTAGCTGTGCATATACATTTCAACAGTAATGTTAATACTTTTACATAGCCCAAGCCAAATGGATGATATAGTAAAGGAGACACTGAGAACCAGTGGTATGCATACCAAATATATAGAAAATTTAAAAACCTGTGCTGTCTCAGCGTGCTTCCTAAAATATGGAGTTAAATGAAAACCACGAGTCTCACACAACATAGCACCAGGAATTAAAAGTGGTTTTACAGTGATTCCAGTGGCAGTAAAGTGGTAAACGAAAACACTTATCAGTCAAACTGGATTTATATACAGTGCCATGCAAAGAAAACAGCCTTCGTAAAGTGCTGTAGATTGAATGCACATTCTTTTGGTTTTGAAATCTCAGCTCCCCGTCTATGACATCTATGGCACCCCCTTGGAAACTACTGAATTAGTTCTGCAATGGCAGCCTTACTCCACCCTCTGGAATCCAGTGGGACTCGTACCTCTGAAATCCCGGTGGTACAGGAACCTCCACAGAGACGGGTCAGCTGTGGCCGAGCTCAGGTCCCGGCTCACAGCTGAGAGGGCCACCAGCGTCCCCACGTCTAGGAGCCGCAGCACGCGAAGCAGGAGCTCGGGAGGGAGCGCCGTCAAGCCAAATACCGCCGGAAGGTTCATGGCTGGAAAACACCCGGGAAGAGGAGACGTCAGCCATGGCCATCGAACTTGTCACGGCTCTGAACGCCATGGAACAACTAAAACTGAATATCCCTTTCAGGCAAGCAAACAGGACCCAGTAACCGAAAAAGACAATTTTTCAGTTCATTTGGAAAAAAATAATTTATTGTGCTCAGCCTATGTTTTTTTTATTATTTCAAGTATGCAATATTATTTAAGAAATAATAAGGTCTAAAGTACGGTGCGTTTTTGGATGCAACACAGATTTGGTACACGTGCTTAAACAAATGACGTGGGAGTCCCTTGGGTGAGATCAGACAGCAGTAGGCTGTATAGCTGCACCACTATTGAAACTTTCTTGTACTGAAGAAATGATCAGAAGAAGGAATGGTGGGAAGTGAAATAGTCACCAGACATGCCTGATTACAGAGTGAATTATAGAGTGAATTGAATGGCGCCATTCAATCTGCCATATCAATCTGTATTCGGACTATGTTACTGGCTACATCAGTAAATGCACTGAAGACGTGGTTCCCAGGATTACTGTTCCCACATATCCAAATCAGAAACAGTGGGTAAATGGCGAGATACGTGCCAAACTTAAAGCTAGGACAGCTGCTTTCAATTCTGGGGATATGGATAAATACAAAAAATCCAGATACAACCTCAGGAAAGCTATCAAAATAGCTAAATACAACTACAGAGTAAAATTAGAGTCATATTATCATGGCTGCAACGCACAGACCATGTGGAGTGGTATACGCACCATTACAGACTACAAAACGCAACCCAGCTATGTTGCACAACAGTCTGCCTCTCTTCTTGATGAGCTAAATTCATTCTATGCTTCGTTTGAGGTCAGTAACGCAGATCCAGTCAGGAAGATTCCAGAAATCCAAGACGGAAACCCACTGATCATATCCAGAGCGGATGTGCGTAAAGTTTTTAAAAAGACCAATCCACGCAAGGCTCCTGGCCCTGATGCTATCCCTGGCCGTGTTCTGAAGGCATGTGCAGACCAGCTGGCAGATGTCTTCTCTGACATATTCAATCTCTCTCTAGCTCAGTTTATAGTTCCTTCCTGCTTTAAGAAAACCACCATTGTCCCTCTTCCTAAGAAACCCAGAGTCAGCTGCCTGAATGACTACCGCCCTGTTGCACTCACATCAGTTATCATGAAGTGCTTTGAGCGGTTGGTCAAAGAATACATCACCTCCTCACTGCCTGACACCCTAGACCCACAGCAATTTGCGTATCGTCAGAACAGGTCAACAGAAGATGCTATTGCCACTGCCCTCCATACTGCCCTCTCACACCTGGATAAGAAAGGAACATATTTGAGAGTGCTGTTTGTTGATTACAGCTCAGCATTCAATACCATAGTGCCCTCAAAGCTTGTCATCAAGCTCCAGGACCAGGGACTGAACACATCCCTATGTAATTGGATCCTGGACTTCTTGACGGAACGTCCGCAGGTGGTGAGGATGGGCACCAACATATCCTCTACCCTGACTCTAAACACTGGAGCCCCCCAAGGCTGTGTGCTTAGCCCTGTCCTCTACTCCTTATTTACCCATGATTGTGTCGCCAGGCAATCATGTCGCCAGGTCGCCAATCAAACTCCATCATCAAGTTTGCGGACGATACAACAGTCATCAGCCTGATCAAAGATGGTGAAGAGTCTGCGTACAGGGAGGAGGTTGAAACCCTGGCAGCATGGTGCCAGGAGAAGAGCGCCTATTCTTTCTCCACAGGCTAAAGAAGTTCGGCATGCCATCACATATCCAGGCCAACTTCTACAGGTGCACTATTGAGAGCATCCTGACTAGTTGCATCACTGCCTGGTATGGGAACTGCTCCGCCCAGAATTGCAAAGTACTGCAGAAGGTGGTGAAGTCAGCGTAGGTCATTACTGGCTACCAAACATCCAGGGTATCTACTCAGCTACATGTCTGAAGAAGTCCAGGTCCATTCTCAAGGACCCCAGTCATCCCAGTCACAAACTGTTTTCCCTCCTACCGTCTGGTAAACGGTACTGAAACATTCGGTCCAAGTCCAACAGATTACGGAACAGCTTCTACCTCCAGGCAACAAGACTGCTAAATAGCCAACCTGCAGCTCCTTTAGCAAATCACCTGTAATGGCTACATGGACACACAGTTTTCAATGTATTCAGCATACCGCACTAGTTGTATATACTGCATACACCATGGACACATAGCTCTATTCTTCTATTCAGCTCTATTCATATTGAGTTTTATTCAATTTCTATTACATTATCTATTATTATGTAACCTTATTGTCGTAACCTTAATTGTGTGATTTTTGTGATTCTTGTGATTTTTGTGAGCTCGCGGAAAAGACATTTCATTGCCAGCAAGTACTGCTGCACGCTATATTGTTGTTCTTTTGATAAATAAACTTTGATTTGATTTTATAAGAATAAAGAATAGAAGAACAAAGTGGAGGAGGCCATTTGGCCCCTCTAACTCATTTGCTGGCTAGTATGTAATTGATCCAAGCTGTTTCTTGAAGGAAAGCCGAGACACATTAGCTGAATGGTTTGTTCCTGACTACTGCAATCTTTTATGTAAAGACTTGCCTCCTGATCAGTCTTAAAAAGTGTCCCGCTGTCATAATTAAAACACTGTTATATATTGGGCATGTTTTAAATGTACTAGTTGATTATTTTCTTTTGTCCTCTTGGCATTGGATTAATCTAAACTGTTAGCTTGATGGGGATAAGTTGTTGACAGCGTCTTTACAGATTGGGATATCCCATCAAATAAGCAAACCGTCTTTGAGTTGACAGACCAGACGATTCTTAAACACTGAATTCCTCATCGAGGAACCAAATTCTATCCGGCATTAAGTACTCAGAAAAAAGAGCTGTGACTTTTTCGTATTCAAGAAAACATTACTTTTCCTTTTAAATGTTAAAACAGTTTCCGATTTTGTCTGTGTGTGGATGAATTTCTGTATGGGGACAGTGGTCTTCATGTAGCATTAGTACAGATTGTGGACCATTATTTATGTCACAAAAAATCTATCATTCCCCATTTACAATTTTGTCCCCCTAAGTGCATTAGTATTGGTCAATATTTGTAACTGAGTGCGTAAATTTCGATGTAGTGTTTTGACCTCTGGAACTCATTACAACTGTACTCTTCAGTTTTTAAATCGGTTTTTGATTCTGGTCTGTCAGTATTGCTTTGATAAATCATTTTCTTTTAAACTAATTAAACTAAACTAATATTTGCTTTTTATTGTGTATTTCGTAATCACTAAATTGTTAAATTAAAAATCCTTCTCACTATTTCCTTGGCCTATGGGTAAGATATTTTACTTTTTCTCAACTTGCATGTAACCAAGCTGGTCTCTAAACTAATATTTAACTTCTGAAAATTTGTAATCATTATTAACACATAACGATCTGTAACAAATAAAAATAAACTGCACATCAATAAACAACAGGTATTATAATATTAGGTAATATCTTAGTATCAAATTATTTTTTGTCTTCCCCGAATACAAATATAGTGTAATATGCATCATTATTAAAAATCTGTTAATACAGCTCAAAAAAGGTGCTGCTGTAAAGCCTCAGTTTTATTCACAGTAATTTCATGCTGAAATGCTTACCTTGTCTGGCTGAGGCTATCCAGGGATATACAACTTGATCTTTAAAAATACGGGATAACTTCTTAAGGTCTTTATAAGCACCAGCAGCGCTTTCCCCTAAGATAAAAAACATTTTTTAAAATGAGTAATTGTTAAGCCAGCATGATCATTTATCTTCTTCTCAACACTTTCATTGTCAAAATGTGATTTAGCTGATGCAACACATTTTATCCTTTAAAAACTCAGCTGTAAAAGCATAAACATTTGAATGATTGATTATTTACATGCTACAAAGGCTAAAACACTTCCTTTTTTTAAAAAAGCACAGTAGCACTATACAATAGCTGACAATTTTGATTCAAAACCTGCTTGCCAGTCAATCATATGCTTGGAACTGGTGATTGAGCAGCATTTCTGTCCACAATATCTGCAATCCCCCAAAACTCTAGAAAACAGTACACTGCTTCTGATTTGTTTGCAAAACATTTATCATGTGTTACTAAGAAGACTTTACCGTTCCATAAATCCGTCACATAGGAAGAAGGGTTTAACTGGATTTTCCTCACATTGTCAACTGTTTCATTCATCTTCAGAGTAGCTGAGAAAGAGACATCAAGAACCGCACAAACAAAAGGTCACACTGACGTGCTGGAGCATTCAAAGCCTTCAAAGAGTTGCAGCATGCTGTGATTTCCAATAGTTCTGCTTAATAAAAGTTTGCTTTAGAAACATTAAGGCATCCAGACCCTGAAAGTCTACAAGGATGTATTTTTTTCATTTATTTTTAGTGTTTTAATAAAGAGTGAAAGTATCTGAATTGTTCTACATTTCTGAAAGACTGGACTTTAGTCCCCAACACAGCAGTAGATTAAGCTCTGCGATCACTGGTCCAGTCTGGTACTTCAGTTCTTCGTATGCATCTGCCATGGAGGTGTGGAGTGCACAGCTGTTTCTTGAAACCACCAAATACTTATGCATCCATGTATTAAACAGAAATTGAAGTACTAGTAGTTCTCAAGTTATGCAGCAGATGTATTCTTGGAAAATTCATTAATTAAGAATGCATTTTCTGTAAGAATGTGTGAGGGGATGAATTCAAAACAATTACATACATTCATTTATATTTATGTTGTACTGCAAGTCATTTTTAAACTAAATATTTGTCGATCTGTGCAGGGAAGACTTGAGTCATGAGCCCAGAGGTGCATCTGGACTACACAACTGTCTTCAGTCCTTTTACTCTCAGTGAGCCATTTATTAATTGCAGACAGCTGTATTGAAGTATTGAAGTTTGATGATTTTGTTCTACAAAAAGACTTCAAATAAATATTTTACAAATTGTTTGCACCAATTTCATGTTTAAGATTTTTTTAATAGGAGCTTACTCTGTTTTAGTGCTTCATTGATTTTATTGCGGAACTTATACCCTATATACAATAAAGAAAAGTTACAGATTTATTTAGTGAGACAACTGAGACAAAGATCATTGGGCTGTCTGTGTGCCAACCAAGCCACACTATTCATCCTGGAACCTAAATAGTTAACTAAAGCCTTTTGTGATGCTTTTGGGACTACTGTGTCATCAGATCACAAACTAGGTCTCTACGATGTGTTTTCAATGGGACTCTAAATAAGCAGGGTGTTAATCACATTTACAAAAGTATGTAATTAACATGCCTTTAATCAGGTGACTGTGAACTGTGAGTTAGAGAATATACACAGTACACGCAGTATATATGGTCTCACACAATACGTCAAGTTTCATTTTGCTGGCTCAACCCCAAGCATGTTAAAGTGAGACCTAACAGCATCTTCAATTAAAAAGTGGTATATATTTTTGAAGTGTGTCACACCAAAAACTCGCAAATTAAGGTCATGTCAATTGGGAACTACCTGTAGATGACAGTTCAGAACATAAAGTTAATAACAAAAAAAAAATTACCGTTGATAACCAGCATGTTTCCCATAGGAACACCAACCACCATAGCAATGCTGTTCTCACAGAGGGGGTGTGTGTATTGCAGTCTGTAAACACCCCCAACCGCCTTCCACCCTGCAGGCATCTCCCCGGGCCTCACTTCCGGGCCCTATCAAAACACAGACGACAAGCTACAAAGGGGGGGAGCTGGCATCCCCCCCCTCTTAAAAAACCTGGTCTAGAGCAAAGTATACGTTGAGTGGAGGCGAAAACTAGATTTGATGCTTCAGTCCAGTAACTGTAATGATCAAAATGTTTTTTTTTACCAGCCCAAATATGTTCCACCTCGTATATATTAAAAGGTAGGATACGGGAGATTTAACAGTACTATCTGCACAGCGGAGGTTGCTTTTTATATCTCTGTCTATTATTCAATATGGAGTAATACAATCCAAAAGGAAAATTCAGTATAGATATTCCAACTGGAAAAGGTTTATTCCATGCTGAAAGGAAGAGAAAAGACACACGAAGGCTCTACAGCAGACATGTTGTGTCTCTTTTCTTTTCCCTTCAGCATGGACTAAACCTGCACCTGTTCCTTTGCAGCCCGTGCATGCTGACACAGCTCCCTACTTAAACTTCTCCATTACAGATATTGTGTATACAAACAGGACTAGGAACATATTACACTTAAAGAAAAGAAAGAAGAAAGGGAAAAAAGTAAAGATCTTATTTACGGTAAAAAATGATGAGCCAAAACACAAAAGAATTCCTAAAATGTGGATTGTAGTACACACAGCCGAAACTAAGGCCCTCAAGAAAGAACATGACTTCCATTTCTCCCTAGACTGTATTTACTAGCCTCTGCTGCGACACAAAATAAACTGCAATGTAATAGGTTGAAATGTATTTAGTTTTTCTGAATTAGTCCTCGAATGTCTATATTTACCTGCAATACGAATCCAGTCTCCAGCATAAGAAGATGAACTGCGACCACCAGTGTATCGCAGGCGCTGCGGTTTTCCACCCCATGGAACAGCATCTCGAGAGAATGAGGCACCTCTCCATCCTCGGCCTCGCTGCATATCATGGGCTCGGGAGTGAAGACATCCTCCATCTCGTGATCTGCCTCTTCCTCGGCCCTCAAGTCTTCTTCCTCGGCACGGACCTAAACAACACGCCAATCTTTAACAAAGCTAAAGTCAGAATCAGACGGATATACAGGAGACCACGGGGAAAGGTGATACAGTACCTAGATTATCAAACACAAAATTATCTCAGTTTTATGGGACATGTTTTAATTTGTTAAGACTCTTGGCAGGTCTATGATATTTTACACAATGGCACAAGACGCTACTTTTAGTTTCTCTTCCTGAAATTCAATGCTGCCTCAGCTTGGATTGCTATCATATCAATCTGCTGTTTTTCTGGGTGTACATGCGCAGGTTTACTGGAACAGGCAGGACAGCCTGTGGTAGGGCATGTTAAGCAGCCTATTTTAATCTATCCTTTTGCTTTCAATATATAGAAAACACCAGTGCATAAGGAACGCAATGTTCTCACTACATATTGACTAGTGCCAGATGATGTTTCAGAGCACGGTCCGATAAAGACTCTTGTTTGAGCTCTCTGCTTGTGGGTTTGAGCCTGGTCATGTCACTAGCACTTTGTAACTGGGACTGCTCCTGTGGGGCGCACACCCCACTAACTGAGGGCTGCCGAGGGCAGGGTGGGATTAGTTGGCTCTCGGTGTCACAGTGACTTCTACAGCTGCCCCGGCTCTTGCAGGATTGCTGAGGGACATGTCTCTCGTCGAATTGGTCCTGAAATTCTATTACGAGGCTGTGTAACCTGCAAGGGATTAACAAAGCCATTCCTTTAAGGATCCAAATGAAAGGACACCCACAAAACAGTTTGCTCAAGAAGACCCAAATCTCAGCGGGCAGATTTTTCACAGCATGCCCTAGTACTTGCCAGAGACAGACAAAGGAGTAGGAGGACAGTGTCCCTTGTTGTAACCTCACTTCATGATGGAAGGAGATAATGATGTCCTAGTCAGGCCAATTCCAATCTGAATAAAACCATGTCCACACGTGAGCAATAAACTGTGTAAGAATGTTTCAGGAAACTTACTGCTTATATTTGGACACTCCTACAACTAGCTGCTTAGAGACAGTATTCATTTTCAAGCAACTTCCAAAGTAACTTATAATGACATGTAATCACATGCTCTTTTCCAGAGCATGACTGTTAGAATCCCCATACTTTCACTAGTGAGGAAGCAGAATGAATATCACTTTCAAAATGCAGATGAGAAAACAAAAACAGTCAACCCTCTGCCTACAATTGAAGAAAGAAAAGAAATATCAGGCAATGCTGTAGAGGTAAATGAAAAATGGAGTCAAAAATAGTTTCATGTAAGTATGGGGAAAGCAGTCACAAGAAATTAAGCTGCATGTCTTCAAGAGTGATTCAACTATATAGCTAACTGCTTACAGATGAATAAAACTTTAAACTTGACTCCCATGCAAGTGTAGATTAGGCTTCGATTAATTTCACGTGAACAGTAAAAAATTACAGATGTGAAACAGCTATTGATAATAATTCCTTACACTTATGTAGCTCTTTTCTGGACACTCCACTCAAAGAGCTTTACAGGTAATGGGGACTCTCCTCCACCACCAATGTGTAGCCCCATCTGGATGATGTGGTGGCAGCCAAACAGAGTGATTTCAGAGATGGGGATTCTTAGGAGGCCAGGATTGATAAATGCCGGGGTTGGCATTTGGCCAGAACACCAGAGTAACACCCCTAATATTTTTGAGAAATGCCCCGAGATTTTTAATGACCGCTGAGAGTCAGGACCTTGTTTTTACATCTCATCCGAAGACAGCGCCTTTTTTACAGTATACGGTCCCTGTGACTCTATTGGAGCATTAGGGCCCACACAGACCACAAGGTGAGCACTCCCTACTGCTCCCATTAACACCAGTTTTAAGTTTATTTCTGAATTAGCTAGGCTCTAAAGTCAGGCTGTTAAACAAGCACGTAGTCCTTAAATCTGGTCCGACTGCTGTGCAGAGTGCAGTACTCACAGAGGGCATCCGTAGAGCTCCAGAGCGCTCATCCTGGAGGGAAGCAGAGCTGCTTGCCTCATCCGTCTTTTTTACTGGGGGGGTGCTGACACTGTGGAGTGCAGAGGGGCTGGGCGCAGGACTGGCCTGTGACAGGACTACACAGATCAGATCTCCAGATACAATCCCACAAGATGCAAGGCTCTGCCCTGACTCAGGGAGGGGCTCGCTGCTGTTCAGAGAAAGGGTGAATTCTGTGTCCGGACTGTGAATGACAAGAGAAAAAAAATCAGAGCCAGTAATCAGGCCTCACTCCCTGAGTCGATTCTGATGATACTGGGAAGACGACCTTATTTTGATACCCCAAAGGGAAAAAACATTGGAAGACCTCAATTGTACACATAAAGAATCAAGCTGAATGAAAAACCCAGAAATTAACAAACAATAAAACATTTCAAGTATCATTTAATACATATGTAAGTCTGAATACTTTTTTTGCTTCTTTTGGCCACTTAAGACAACAAGGTGTCCTGTGATCTGTAACTGTTCATTTTCTCTATCTCTGAGTCTCAGGAGCCTCCATAAACTATATTGCATAAACATTTTCCCATTTCCATATCAGATTTAATATATCTTATATTATGGCAGTCTATGACCTTTGTGGTGAAAGTGCAGTAACTGAGGAACCAATGGCTTACAGACTGAACCAACAGCAGAGACTCCAGGGTGAAGGCAATAACAACTGAGAGATCTGCATTTCAAACGCTTAGGTCCTTCAATTCTCACTGCTTCCAAAGTGTTAAATGTGTTTCATTTCAAATGTGGGCCCAGGTGTTTTGAATATGGGGCCCAGTTGAACAGTAAGAAGAGGACTCAACCTGTAGCCACAAGAGGGCAGTATTATTTCCTTAATTTGGATGCTCAGCTCCTCCAGTGTAGGCTCATCTCCCTCCAGCTCCAAACGGCAAGTCTGTTTGTTCACACGGACTCGCAGCTTCATGCTTCTTAAATTATTGCTAAAAACAGCTGTAGAAACAAGGCCAAGGCCAATGATATCAATTATGGCAATGGATGGACTACTTTTCAAGACTCCTCAAAAATGTCCTGTATGAGTCAGTTTGCTGAAGAGACATAGCCTAACGTGTTGCAAGAAAAGACAGAAAGCAGGGGAATCTGATCAGAAGTATAATGTAAATATTGTTCAAGCAGGATCATAACACATGTAAAACACAGATGTGGAACAATATACATTTTCAATGCATTATTCCAACATGTAAATCAACTGATGCAGTATAAATCTAAAATTTAAACCATTTTGACATGATAATGCAGAGACCGTGATCCGCATTGATAAGGCAAACAAATGACATGATGCTTTTCTCAAGCACTGCTCTGAAACAGCGCTGGCTAAGCTTCATTTTAACTTAGCTTCTCTGTAGGCTTCATATTCTGGCAGAAGCACAGAGTACTGTTAGATGCTCTTGCATACTCGGACATAGAGTGCTTTCCAAAAGTATTGGGGCAGCAAAAGCAAAACTCATTTCGGCTTTACAGTCAAGCAATTTCTGTTTGTGATCATGGGATTAAAATGAATGATAAGTGCAATATACAATTTATTCTTCTATTGAAGGTAGGTATCTGGAACTCACAGACCAGTAAATCACTTCACTGTGTAACTGTTGTATGGTTTGTAGTGCTGTACATTTGAAAAGGTGTGTGATTTACTGTCAATAAATATTTGTCTATGTTTGGACCTGATTATTACTCTATCATCAAGTACTGCCAGAGAATAAAGAACACATGTGGTATGTAATGCTTATAATCCATGACTTTAGGGGGTGTAATCTTAATTATTTGCTTTCATAGCAAGCTGGTGTCAGGACCTGATTTTTTATAGTGCCTTGTAACCACACCTCGAGATTCGTAAAAATATATATGTGAATATCTCCCAATATGTGTGGTCACTTGAAATCATTGGGTTGGACACAAAGTATGTCTTTGCCCTATTATCAAACGTTTGATTGGAATGAACTAAAAATAAAACATGTATTTTATTAAAACATAATAAAACATAAAATATGTCCCGGTACGTATGGTTATTTGAAATCACTGGGATGAATTATGTAATACTTATCACTCATACTGATCTCATCATCATAAATACAAACAGCTTGACTGTGAAGAAAAAACGTTTTGACTTTGCTGTCCACATAGCCTATCCTATCCTTACTGGTAACCTTTGTAGAATTAATATGATCCTGGACAGCATTTTAAAGAGAAACAACAGTGCAGACTCAAAGACGCAAAGCACACGAACAGGACAAGCAGCATGTGAGAAGATAACAAGTAACCTGTCGGATTACCATGTCGAATAACGCAATCAGGTCAGAAAATTGCAGAAAATGACCAATTCACTCAGAAGTGTTTTATCATGTGTGGCAGGCACCCTTGTCGTGTACCCAATAAGCAAAGGACAAGTCTGTCATTATGGGCTTATTCGTATTTATTGTACTTCACATTCTATGTCAGTTAGTATGCGGAGTGGACACAAATTGACATAGTATGCGTTCAACACCCAGACAAGGACACAGCACAAGATGGACAATGTCCGACTACACACCACGGACAACAAATATGAAACGCTTGAAAAATAAAGGCACTACGGCTAAAACTTTCAATTTCGTTTCATAGGCCTCCGTACATTTGCGAAATACATAATATTGAAACATAAACATAAATGTTTAATCTAAATGTTAAAACGCAATCGCCCACATGATGTAAATGTTACAATCCAATGGTAATTCTTATATGACTATATAACAGTAATTCTGAAAAGGATAAAAAAAACTTTCATTATAACTGATAAACGTATTCTGTAACAAAACTGTGATACAACAAAATATACTTTTACAAACGATAGTTCTACTTACATTGGTTGGGTCGGTCTTAATAATTCTATGTTTCATTCTTTGAAACAAAGCAATTTGAAAGTGTTTACTTTGCATTAGATATTCAAACTCCCACAAAGAATATCGCGAGTGCCTATACAACAGTCAACAGATCTGCAGTATGAAAGCCATGTCCTGATGACAACTTTCTTTTTAACATCTACAGGAAGAGACGAGGCGCATTACAGTTCTGACAAAAATAAAAGAGCTACTTTTCTATGGCTACCATTAGGAAATGAAAGTAATGATTAAATTAGTACAAAATAACAATAACACACTCAATCAATATACAAAACGTCTTTACGGAAAGTAAAAGATGTTTCATGGACTCTAGACTACCGTAATGCAATTCGAAAACGGTAATAAAATAACGCGTTTCTGATCGGGATTCGCATATTTTGAGCTCTCTGAAGACCCGTAGTTTGCAGGGTTTTACGTCACTGTGCTGTGGCATATAATATATACTTCAGCTTTAAAGAAGACACGCGTTTTGTGAAATACCAAAAGATAAAATGAGTCGGAGCTACAATGATGAGCTACAGTATTTGGATAAAATCAGCAAGAATTGCTGGCGGATCCGAAAAGGATTTGTACCCAACATGCAGGTAAAGTTGAACTACCTATTGAATCGGACTAATATGACAAAAATGTGGACGGTAGACAGTTCATTGAAAATAACAAAAACCTACTTTTGTTTTTTAAACCCATTAGGTTTTAGTTTGTCATTATATCCTATTAGTGTATACAAAATCCTGCCTTAGTTGTACTTCATTACGTGACGGTTTTCTAAATAACATTTAAGCTTTGTAAAACGGACACGTACTTAAATAACTTCTGTATATTTTCGGTGCCATAGAATATTCAACTACTTTTTTTCATAATCCGAACGATTCAAGTTATGTGCTTTTCGATGCAAATTCCTAAAGGCCTTTTGAAGGCCAGGATTGCTACAGTATTGAATCATAACCTGTTTAAAAGCGTAAACCAAATAAAACATTTCTTATCAGGGTAGAAGAGATACATTTACAAAGTTTATTTTAAATCACGCATGAATTAATCTGAGCCATTAAAGAAACCGCCATTAATTGGTATCTGGAAATATTAATATAATAATAGTGACAATCGTTAGTTAACCTGTTTGTTAAATGTGGTAACTTTATTGGCGAGACTGAAACAAAGCTGTTATCTGCTGTCTTGATACAAGTGGAATGTGTCTTCTATTATTTCTGTATATGTTTGGTGCCATAGAATTTTCAGCTATTTTTTTCATAATCCTAAAGATGCAAGTAATGTGTTTTGCGAGGCATTTTTCTAAAGGCCTTTTGAAGACCAGGATTGCAACAGCAATGAATCATAACTTGTTTAAGCCCACACCAAAGAAAACATTTCTTATCAGTGTGGAGGAGATAACATATACAAAGTTCATTCTAAATCACGCATGAGTTAATCTGAGACATTAAAGAAACCGCCGTTAATTGGTATCTGGAAATATTGATATAATAATATTGACGGTAGTAGTTCAGGTGGGTAGCTGCGTCAGCATGCGTAGGCTGCAAAGGAACAAGTAATAGGTTTATTCCATGCTGAAAAAAAGAAGAAAGAGAACACAACGTTTCGGCCGTGGAGCCTTCTTCAGGTGTCACCTTCAGGTGTCCCACCTGAAGAAGGCTCCACGGCCGAAACGTTGTGTTCTCTTTCTTCTTTTTTTCAGCATGGAATAAACCTATTACTTGTTCCTTAATAATATTGACAATCGTTAATTAACCTGTTTGTTAAATGTGGTAACTTTAATGGCGAGACTGAAATAAAGCTGTTCTCTGCTGTGTCTTGGTACAGGTGGAAGGTGTTTTCTATGTGAACGATCCTTTGGAGAAGCTGATGTTTGAGGAGCTCCGAAATGCCTGTCGAGGGGGAGGTAGGAGCCTATAATACAAAATCTGTTTTAAAGGGTTAATGTTAAATTCAGTTTTGGTCCGAAGAAGGCAAAACAAGTAGTGCGGAAGAAATGTTTTTCTTGTCTGTTTGTCCTGGTCAGTTATTAATGAGGAGGGTCTTGCTCAAGTAACAATGTTCTCGGATTTTCTGCACTAACTGTTTTACTTCAATCAGTAATTTGTGTAACCTTTAAAACCTTGATGCAATTCTTGGGTCATTTAACTACTAACATTCAAAAGAGTGGAGAAAACTAAATGACCTTTTGTGACCTGGGGCGCAGCGGTGGCTCTGTGGCTAAGGATCTGCGCCTGTGGCTGGAAGGTTGCCGGTTCAAATCCTGCAGCCAGCAGAGGAATCCTACTCTGTTGGGCCCCTGAGCACGGCCCTTAAGCCCAACTGCTCCAGGGGCGCCGTACAATGGCAGACCCTGCACTCTGACCCCAGGCTGTGTGTCTCATGGAGAGCAAGCTGGGGTATGCGAAAAGATAATTCCTAATGCGAGAAAATTGTAAAGGGTTAATAAAGTGATGTTGTTGTTGTTGTTGTTGTTGTTGTTATTATTATTATTACCCTATGTTCAAAGTCTTATAGTTGAACATAAGACATGTTAAAAAGGTTATTCATGCCTTTTACATTGAATGTGTTAAGTATGAGAAGTGTGAAAGAATTAGACCGAACCAATGTGCCAATATTTGCTGAATTTTTTTCAGGCTTCGGTGGATTTCTTCCAGCAATGAAGCAGATTGGCAATGTTGCTGCACTGCCAGGAATTGTACACGTGAGTGCCTGGAACAAGTCAGAGCTCTTTCTTCAGAAGCCGTGCTCATTTCTCTCTGGGCTCTAGGTGCTACACCTCATCCCAACTCATGCCACAGATGTTCGAGCTCAAATAAGGCGAGCTGGACATCCAAAAGTCACCTTTTCACCTCCAGTGAAAGTCACTATCACACAAGCTTAAGAAGGGTGATGTGCACATGGCCTTGAGGGCTCGATTCCTCTGCTGGCTGGCCGGCCAGAGGTGTTGCTCACACATTATTCCTTCGCTTGAATGAAAATTGGTGAGCCCTTGCGGTCATCTGGCTTGCAAGCAGTGACTGTTCCCTCACGGTTTATCTGGGAAACTGTAGCAACCTGGCATTTCGTAGGCAGTGGAACTGGCAGTGTGAAAACATTGGCATCTTGTAAGGATCTTTTGTGGTCTCCAGGTCATGACCTGTCGTTTTTAGACTTTGTTGGCCTCTTCTTGCCAGGTTAGGAAATTGCTGGCTGTGAACCCCCCAGATCATGAATGATATATTGAGCATAAATCAAGTAAAGTCAAGTTAAAAATATACAATACGCTAGTTGGAACACGCTTGGAATACTGTGTTGAGTTTACGTGACAAGAAAGATCTTGCTACTTTAGAGACCGTACCAAGGAAAGCAGTTGGACTTATTTTCATAATCTGAAGGGAAAGTTAGAATAAAGGAACTGTAACCTGTAACAGACAAGGCTATGTAGGTAGTTGATACAATTATTCAAAAACTTTAACAAAGCTAGTTGAAGCAGAATCCATGGTATCCTTTAAGAAAAGGCTAAAGTACTTCCACTAGTCCTGCGAAATTTCACTGCTGGGGTGTTGTTGAATAGCTTGGAGGTGGTTCTAATGATGACAGAGGGATTTTGCAGGGCGGAGGAAAGGTTTTTTTTACTTCTGTTTAAATTTAACAAGTTCTGATCGAACCTTTTCTGTCTTTCAGCGATCTATTGGTCTCCCTGATGTCCACTCTGGATATGGCTTTGCAATTGGCAATATGGCAGCATTTGATATGAGTGACCCCTGCGCTGTAGTTTCCCCAGGTAATGCATACAGACTCTTAAAACCTTTCACTACCAACAGCTCAGGGAATTATGTATGACTTTATTACTTTTTTAGGTGAGTGGTGTAATCCCGTGTGCTGTTTGAATGTCGCCCTGTGCTTCTGATAACTAAAATAGTAACATTTTAGCAACAACTCTTAAGATATTGGAGAGGGCTACAAGTTGCTAATGAGTACACATTGAAGTCTATATCCCTGACATACTGTTCCCGTCAGGACTTCAGGTTTGGTCCCCCTTGACTTTTTCTTGGCTGGGGTTGTGCTGGAAGTGTGAAAACAATCATAATTAGCATTTCTTCTAGAAGTTTGATTTTGGGCCCAAACTAAGCAACAAGATGAGCTGAATAACTGTACCGGTATATGTCCATCGTTCTGCCCAGGTTATAAAAGGACATGGATATATATGAACTACTGTACCACAGAAGTATTCCATATGCTGGTTTGTATGTTCGGTCTAAATCTCTGCTGTAACAGTTTTTGTTTTAGCTTTATTAATCTCAACTATTATTGTGGTTCCTTTGTTGAAAATGTGTCTCATTTAAGTAGTTATTAGTAGAAAACAGAGGTATAGAGGTAGGTACAGTTGTTTATTGCCATATGTACATTGGAATTCTTATTCGCGATTGTCTATCAGGACAATCACAGTAAGACAGACAACACAATATTCGCAGTACATCACAAACATAATAAATAATAACCAGAACAATAAATACGTGGTAATGAAAAAAACATAGTAGACAACATTTTTTTTTCCCAAAAAATCATCCTTATGAGTTTGTTGTTAAGGTAATGTTAAGATCTTGTGTCTGTAGAATATAGTTACAAAAAGAAATGTAACCCAGTCTCCCTTTCATGCCCCTTCACTGCTGGGATATAGTTTTAATTCTGAAGTGAAAATCGAGAAGTTGAAGAGCAAATGTATGCGTTTGGGAGGTCTGTGCAGTCGGAAACGCGCTGTGCTCTGTCTGGACCAGGTGGCGTGGGTTTCGACATTAACTGCGGGGTCCGGCTGCTGCGCACCAACCTGGACGAGGGGGATGTGCAGCCGGTGAAGGAGCAGCTCGCACAAGCCATGTTCGACCACATACCTGTAGGCGTGGGCTCGAAGGGAGTCATCCCCATGGGCGCCAAGTAAGGACAGCGCGCCGTTTCCTCACCCACCCGCCCGAGCTGGCGTCACTGCCCCAGGCCAGAGTGTGCGCTGGAGCCCAGAGAGACCTCTAGGAATACTGGGCGGATGGACCAGGAGTACCTTGTTTTCATTACTTTTATTATAGATATAGTTCATATCTCATGTTTCTTTATGGCATTTCCTTTCATCCATTCTCGTGTGATATTGGGGGTATATTCACCCCAGGTTTTGTTCCTTTCGGTCGCTTCAGCAGCTCCACAAGCAGAGCAGAATGTGTTTCTGTCCAGATTGTGGTGAAAACAGAAACTGCTTTGCTGTCGGCATGGGCGTGGAAGTGATAAAACGCAGTGATTTATATTTTGAAGTTGAAGCGATGAATGCGTGTGCTGGCCTTCTGATGTTCAGGAAGATGATGACGAAAGGTTTGCTGTAGGTGTGCTGACAATTGCAAACAGGAATTTAGGTGTCCGACTAGGTGACCAAAAGCGTGCTGTAAAGTTCGCAAGGTCTCTCTTGTTGGCACACGGTTGTCTTTAAGCCTTTGTGGTGCTGTAGGGACCTAGAGGAAGCGCTGGAGATGGGAGTGGACTGGTCCCTGCGGGAGGGCTACGCCTGGGCAGAAGATAAGGAGCACTGCGAGGAGTACGGCAGGATGCTGCAGGCCGATCCAACCAAGGTCTCCTCCAAGGCCAAGAAGAGAGGCCTTCCGCAGGTACAGAGACGCAGTGAGGCGTCCTCTCTGCACAGCAGGGGGACCCCCAGGCAGCTTGTACTAGCTATGGGAAACTGGTCTGGAGCGTGTTTTTGATTTTAACTCTTATTTTTCTCTTAATAATAACCATTGGGTGGTGCAGTGGTCAGCATTGCTGCCTTGTAGCGCTAGGGCCCTGGGTTCAATTCTTGACTTGGGGTGCTGTCTGCATGGCGTTCGTCTGTTCTTCCAATCTTTGCGTTGGTTTCCAGTTGCCTCCTTATCCAAACAGATGTCAGTTAGCCTCTGGTATGAGTGGCTCTAGATGTAGGTTTGTCCGTTTCTGTGTGCCCTGCAATGAACTAGCGTCCCATCCAGGGTGTACCCAGCCTTGTACCCATTACTTGCTGGGATAGACTTCAGCACCCCTATGACCCAAAATTGGATGATAGATGAAGTAGTTGGAAAACATATAATAAACATGTAATTTTCTTGTAAAGCCTGATCTGCACTGCTTCCAACTGCATGCATAGCATTTTTTATACAGATCTTACACGGTTTGCGTCTCAGGACGGAGCACTCTGTTCTGAAATTGCAGACTCGGAGAGTACAATGACTGGATTAAATAGGAGGATCTTTTTTGATCTTTCAGCTGGGAACCCTTGGTGCTGGGAACCACTATGCAGAGATCCAGGTGGTAGATGAAATTTACAATGATTATGCAGCCAAGAAAATGGGCATCGATCACAAAGGACAGGTGTGCGTCATGATCCACAGTGGGAGCAGAGGCCTTGGGCATCAGGTAGCAACAGGTACCAAGATCACTGCTGTTCATCTTTTAGTAGTCTGTAGAGAAATACCTTTTTTTCTTTCCCGGAGAAACAGTTTATTTTAAAAACACAGAACATTTTACACTATAAAGTAAAAAAAAATCCTTAATCCTTAAGCCTTGTTTCTGGGCTGTCAAACTTATTTGCCCGGAGCTCCAAAGAGCAGAGGACCAGTATTGATGGAGAATGGTTGATCGCTCTCTGTTGTTAGATGCCCTGGTGGCGATGGAGAAGGCGATGAAGAGGGACAAGATTACCGTGAATGACCGCCAGCTGGCCTGTGCCCGGATCACGTCTGAGGAAGGCCAGGACTACCTGAAGGGAATGGCGGCAGCAGGAAATTACGCCTGGGTCAACCGCTCGTCCATGACCTTCTTAACCAGACAGGTAGGCGCGAGTCCCATGCTGCCCTACCTGAGCCAGCCAGCCAGCAAGAGCCTGCAGTCACCTGGCATGTCTACGTTAACCAAAATGGCAGAAATTTAACTTTATTCCAGAGCTGACGGAGGGTGAGTGTGTGCGTTTTCAATACGAAATTACATTAGTGTGTATTTGAGTGAAGTCAAGTAAATTTGTAGTTCAGAACTTCAGAAGCTTCTTAATATCAGATTAAATTTAACCCTAACTGGAGATGCAATTGAATATAATTTATATAGTTGAGTGTTTTGTCTGGAGGTTGTGCAACAAGTGACGACAAGTAAGATGTTAAGGTGGTGCCAGTCTGAACATGTGCTGCTTCTGAAATCCTTTTTTTTTTTCTTGGTTGTGGCTCAGGCTTTTTCGAAGGTGTTCACCACCACCCCCGATGACCTGGACATGCACGTGATCTACGACGTCTCTCACAACATCGCTAAGGTGGAGGAGCACATGGTGGACGGGAAGCAGAAGACGCTGCTGGTGCACAGGAAGGGGTCCACCAGAGCCTTCCCTCCACACCACCCCTTGATCGCTGTCGATTACCAGGTGGGGCCACGGTGTCCCTCATTCTCCAACCTGACTGGCAGATCTCCTATTTTTACCAAAATGTCAATTTTCTTTTTGTACAGATTTATGTTCAGGCACGAGTCTGTGTAATCAGCAGTAAGGCTGTTGCTTTTATACAAAGTACATCGATTACATTTATATCCATCTCTACTGCTTGCCATTTTACTGGTGCAGTCTTACTCAAGGGTGCACCAGCAGTGCTGCACCTGGAATTTGAAACTGCCAGCGTCCAGTCACAAGTACAGAGCTCTGAGCCCTGCTGCACACCACTGCCCGTTTAACAGCTCCTCCATGTTCATTTTATTCTCCTACAGTTGACCGGACAGCCAGTTCTCATCGGTGGCACCATGGGAACCTGCAGCTATGTTCTGACAGGAACTGAGCAGGGAATGACGGAGACTTTTGGCACCACCTGCCATGGAGCTGTAAGGCTTTATTAAAATTTTTCATTTCTGAAAACAATGTTTCTTCTTAGATTCAGAGCACAGTTGTATGGTAAAATTTTAAACTGGATTTTTCAAGCACAATTAAAACGTGGTTTTACAGGGAGCCCCGAGAGACAAAAAACCATCTCCAGTGTTACATAGACTCGAAACATATACTAGCACTTAGACACTTAACATAGTCATTACTATACATTTTTTTAGTCATTTTCATAAAAATCAATATTAAGAGTAGCTGTTTCTTATACACGTATGCATGCTGACTTGAAAAGATTCACTGTAGTTCCTCTATAGTAAAGGAGGATGCAGGAAGTGCTCTTTTTGGCAGTATTGGATATCAAACCTTTAGAAGTCACAGAGATGTGAGGTGAGGGAACTAACCTCAAAAAAAAAAAAAGGACCGTTTGGCTTTTAGTTTTGTTTTTGTGATTTTTCAAATACCCAGAATACACCTCCCCTCTTGTCTGTTTGGGCTTCTAATATGATGAATGCCATCTAGTGTGTTGCGAGGGAAAAGGATTATTTGTGCAAGGAACCCAATTTTTTTTAATGTTTCCTATATTATTGTAAGCGTGGGGATAACTGGAATGTGCTGAGACTTACTGCCTTACTCACGTGATCTTAAGCCATTCCTCTGTTTTATTATCTTTTTTTTACCTCAGAAATATCGCTAGACTACACCCTATGCCATCACTAACTGTGGCTGAAAAGCTGATCAACACATTAGTGTTCTCTAGAATTGACTACTGTAATGCTCTACTTGCTGGGGTATCTAAATCTACTTTGAACAAACTGCAGTATGTCCAAAATTCAGCAGCCAGAATCGTGACCAGGTTTAGTGCAAGTGATCACATTACTCCTATCCTGGAGCCCTTGCACTGGCTTCTGGTCAAATTCTGTGTAGACTTTAAAATCCTCATGCTCACCTATAAGGCTCTGCATGGCTTGGCACCTCAGTACCTGCCTAAACTATTATCGTCCTACTCCCAACCTCGCAATCTTCACTCTTCTAATTCCAATCTCCTTACTGTCCTCCAAGCCCGTCTACATTGTATGGGTGACAGGGCCTTCTCCTGTTATGCTCCCAAGCTCTGAAACTCTCTCCCCAAGGATATCGGAGAGTAACTTTCTCTAAACTCTTTCAAATCCAGACTCAAAACCCTCTTCTTTAGAAAAGCCTTTACTTAACTGGTTCCATTCTTCACCCCTCTGCTTTTCTCAGTACTACCACCCACAGTCTCCTCTATATATTGTAATTGTGTTTTATCTTGTGTATTCTCCTTATTTATTGTTGTTGTCATTAAAAGCCACATTTAAAGGCGCTATATAAAATAAAGTTTAATTTAATTATTATTATTAGCTGTCAGAGGATGTTCTGCTGTGATTAAAATGTCAGAATAATCCTGTTTTGCTGCTCTAAGCCTGTTCAAATGTCCTCTTTTTCCTGATGACGTTGTTTTAGGGCCGAGCTCTTTCTCGTGCGAAATCACGTCGTAACCTGGATTTCCAAGATGTTCTGGACAAACTGGCAGACAAGGGCATCGCCATAAGAGTTGCCTCGCCTAAGCTTGTCATGGAGGAAGTAAGTACATGACACAGAGCCTTGGGGACTTTTTCTTTTTTTCGGAGACGTATTCTAGCTGGATCTCTTTGGAGGCTGGTTTCTGGATTGGGAGAGATTAGGAAAATCGGGTCTCTGTTGCAGGGGGTAACAGTGCTCCAGTAGGTGTCACTCTCATCTCCTGACCTGGATTTCCAAATCTCTGCCCTGGTATAGTGACAGGGGACAGTGTGCTGTAAGGACTGCTGTCTTTTAGACGAGATGTAAACCAAGTCGAGGTCCTGACTTCTTGGTCATTAAAGATGCCATGGCTTGTTTGCAAGAATAATAATAATAGGGCGGAGCGGTGGCTCTGTGTTTAAGGATCTGCGCCTGTGACCGGAAGGTTGCCGGTTCAAATCCCGCGGCCGGCAGAGGAATCCTACTCCGTTGGGCCCCTGAGCAAGGCCCTTAACCCTAACTGCTCCAGGGGCGCCGTACAATGGCAGACCCTGCGCTCTGACCCCAAGCTTCTCTCCCTGTCTCTGTGTCTGTGTCTCCGTTGAGAAAAGCTGGGGTATGCGAAAAGACGCATTCCTAATGCAAGAAATTGTGTAGGGCTAATAAAGAAACATTATCATTATCATTATCATTAATTTAACCCTGGTGTTCTGGCTGTGGTCGACTCTGGGCTTGCAAAATCTAGCCATCATTCAACTCAAGAAGCACTTTCCCCACTCGACGTACTGATCTGTATCACCAGTGCAGTGCTGGTGGATCATGACTGCAGTGCCTCACCTAGGTGGGTGCTAAACTTCAGTACGGGATAAAGTGGGTCTCCTCCTCCATCTCAAGAGCCTTAGAACGGCAATATTCAAAGCAGACAATTCTTCCCTGAGAAGTGATTTGGTTACTGCTGTGAGTTTCCTGTGTTGCCAGTGTTCATCACAACTATATTAGGAAGCAGACTCTCTGAGTTCAGATAATGGCTTCCTCCTACTATTGTGGGAAGGCTGGAGCCCACCTCATTTCACTATGTTGCCAGTTTTGGGGTCAAACAATGAAGAGTTGCTGTGCCTTGAAGCATCAGAAACAGAGCAAGCTTTTAGAATTACACTGAAGCAGTCACTAATGTTAACTTAATTTCCTATGTGTCTAATTTCTTTGAAAGTGTGTAGCAGTTTGGAAAGCTAACAAAATGAGTAATTTGCTATCAGTTAAGTTTTCTTCCTGAATGGAATAGGCAATATTGCCTTCAAATGAATTGCAGATTAACTTCCTATTTATGTATCGCAGTCCTATATGCTTCCCTATTAGACTTTCTTACAAGGAGGCCAAGGAGTAGTTTCAGTAATGTTAAAATTCCTTTCTCTTTTCCAGGCACCGGAATCATACAAAAACGTGACGGATGTTGTGAACACTTGCCACGATGCTGGAATTAGTCAAAAAGCCATCAAACTGAGGCCCATTGCTGTTATCAAGGGATAAACACTTGAACAGTGCTGAATTTATTGAAAGGTTTGGGATTGAATTGCTTCATGCGCAAGTTACCAGGGAGGCTGTATGATTTTGAGTTGGTGGGGAAAATAGAAAAGTCTATGAGATTTTTAAAATGAAATTTAATGTTGGATAAAGATAATTGACTTCTTTAAAGCCACAATGTGCAGTTTTGTTTGAAATGCCTGTTGCAGAGAATTTGTGTTTGGCAGAATACACAGAAATGAAATGTGAGGTTTTCCGAGTGGAATTTTGCAATATATGTTCTTATAAATGAGACTAAAACCAGAGTAAACGGATACCTGATTATGTTGATTAAACTTTAAGATAAATATTTTTTTTTCCCTTGTTAAAATTGTGGCTGCAAAATTGGACCACTGTATTTCATGGCATAACCAGAAGTATGCTACAACTTGTTAATTTAAATCTATATATCTGAAAATCTTGATTACTTAAAAGGGTGGTGTTTATGAAGTGCTTCAGAACGTCTTGCTCCTTTGGTGCATGAATCATTTTTCCAGGAGTGGGCTACACTCCCTATGTCTTCCTCTTGTAGCCCGTCTTGTGTTCTACATGATGCCCGCTCATTTGCTTGCAGTCTGTAGTCATGGATTTTCAGACATGGAACTGTACTGCAAAAGTGAATGAGTTCTGTTAAGTTTTAGAACAGTTTAAGATCACCAAAACATCACATACTGTAATATGTTCTGTTGTCAGCTTCTTTACCAGAAATAAAACAAGAGTTGATAGTAACATGGGCAGAGGGTGTGTCCCACATCCAACTTCACAATGAAAAATGAGATTTTTTTTTTTTTCCTCTGAATTGAGAGGCTGTGACCCTGGTGAATGTTTCTGTTCAGAGTTTACAGCATAGGCTGGGTCGACAGTAAAAATGGTGTGGGCTTAAAATAAAACCAATTGAGTAGCAAAGTGTGTGTTGCTTTATTTAGTCAAAAACCAGGATCCCATTTTTTTCCTCCAGCTTGGATTTCTGTTGGTGTCTATCCAACTTCTGTTATCCCACCGGTCTGTCCCTCATGTCTCCTTCTCGGCCCTCTGACATCCACAGAATTCCAGACCTGCTTTCTGTGATGTGTAGCCACCCCCCTTCTCACCGAAGTGTTATATTTGTAACAAGGGTGTCCAGTTCTTCTTCAAGCTGCACACTAAATTGCATTTTCCCTCTTTGCTTACTTTTTGTTTCTGCCTACTTATTTGCCATTTTATTTTCATTAAGTTAATTGGACGTTAGCCTTTTTTCGTGGCTTGCAAAGCAATAGTCTGATGCAAAGTGTCTTGATCTCCCATACGCATTAATACCACATGTGCACAGCTCCATATAGTACATTCAGTATCACTAGTGCAAGTAATTAACCAGTTAAGGCTGCTAAATAGTGGTCAAAAAGAGCCTACTGAGAGGTGGTTACTTTGAAACAAAAGAAAAAAGGCTTGCAGTTTATTGGTGATGTAAAGTTTTAAATGAGCAGGTTGTAAACAGTTTTGACATTCTGATCTTCCAGATTGAGGTATTCATTTCAGGTTTAAGAGCTGAAAATGAAATGTGGCAGAAATATGTGGAAATGGTAGATGTTTTCAATGGACGTAATAACCAGATTACCATTTGACGATGCCTACCAATTGTTCTGAATTTCTGACATCTTTAGGGATTGCCTATTCCAGTACTGAGTTAAATGCAACACATTCAGGACTCTGGCATTCTTGAGATCTGAGACAAAACAAGATTTTTTTTTCTTAATTTAGATTTTTTGGTTTAAACAAAATTTATTAAATGTTTTGACTAGGGTCTTGGCTATCAGACTTTATAAAGGAACAACCTCCTGTTTGAAATAAGTTTTTCTTAAAATTCCTTTTTTGCAGTTGACCACTGAATGTTTTGTCAACTTCATCAGACACAGTAAAAAGCATAGTATTTTAAAATGGTTTCTTCTAAAGAGAATGAAGCCTTTAAGTGTAACACAATGTAAACTTTTTATCAAATATTGTCATAATATTTGTAAAGGTTTTAGAAAAAATCAGCAAGAAAGCATTCTGTGCCAATTATTTTCTAGTACAGACTTTGATTTTGAGAAAAAATAATGTAAACATGCTTGAAATATAAAAAAAGACATACTTCAGTTGTTCA